GGGGGGGGGGGCATTTAGGAACTTGAGGAAAGTTGTATGTTTCATCATTGCTACACTGCACCCTGACTGGCTAATCTCAAGAATATAGATTTTCATGTGAAACCATTACTTTAAATATTGACTCAAATTGTTTGAAAACTCTGTGCCAGATGAACAAAGCATCTCTCACTGGATGCAACCTTGGGGAAAAAGTGATTGCTAATCATTCGATCAGAGGAGCCCAGAGGGTGTAGTTGTGCTTTGGACCGTGGACTGCAAAATCAGCAGTTCAAACCAGCAGGTGATCCTCCGGAGAAAGAGGCTTTCTAGTCCTATAAAGAGTACAAGCTTCTCTGAGGAGTTAATCTTGGAAACCCACAAGGACAGTTCGACCCTGTTTTTTGGGGTGGCTGTGAGTGAGAAATGACTCAGAGGCAAGGAGTGTGGGTTTTTTGCGTTTGGGCCTTAATTGTGCAGCTTCTGAGCTTGTTAATTTTTTTTAAATCATTTTGGTAGTTAGAAAAGCATTAGATCCTGTTAGAAAGGAGTCTGTTCCATATAGTTTTTAAAACTTATGCCCCCTTTAAAAGCAATGTGAAACTAGAGATTCATTTCTAATTTCCAAAAATGTGTGAAGATATCTAGTATTACACATAGCTACAAATGGTTCCCAAAATGTGGGCAGCAACTACATGGCCATTCCTCAGTAAAATGGGCTCATTGAAAATATACAAGTCCTGGTAAACATCTCAGTTTCTTAAACAAATTGTGACAGTATTTTAATCCTAAAAGTAATTATCAAAGCTTAGTATCAAAACAGATTATAGGCATTTTATAATTGGTGCTGTTCCTATGTAATTTTCAGGTAACTTACGACCTATCTCCCCATGGCGCTGGCTGTTTTCTGTGGTTGCTCCTGTTTTGATCATCTCAAATGGCTTAAAAAAGAAAAGTCTCGATCACACTGGGGCTTTAGGAGGTATGTTTTCATGTTGAATGTTTAAATGCCATATAATTAGTGCCTGTGCTTATTTAAACTTGGGTATTCAAAATTTTTTATACTTTTCGTGAAATTGCAAATTTTAATGTTCCATAAACAGTGATAAAGTTGGGCATTGCTCTGCCTTGCTCTGGAAAACATTGAGAAATGAACAGACCTTTTGTGTGTGTATGTGTGATTTTAATTTTGTAACTGATTTCAACATTTAGGTGAGCCGCATAGACTTGTAAGGGCTCTCCCATTCGCTCCATTAGTTGATAACCTGCTAGCAAAAACATTGGTGCACACTTCACAAGGGTAAAGTAGGGGAGCAGTTGAAAAATGTTACTTTGGAGCAGTGCTATTAGTAACGTCAGGCTGGAAAGCACAAATTGAATGTTCTAGACTAATTTTTCTGAGTTGGGGACAGGGTGTTTATTCTTTCAGCAAATGTTGATTGAGCTTTATTTAGTGCTGGTGTTCTAGAAACTGGTGATGTAACTGAGAACAAAGAAGGCACGGGTTCAGTACTGAGGAAACTTTCCTTAGAGCAGATAACAAATACCGTTTATACTCATTTTTTTTTCTTTTTTAATCAATTTATTGGGGCTCATACAATTCAACACAATACATAGATCAATTGTATAAAACACATCTATACATTTGTTGCCCTCATTATTCCCAAAATTC